TGAAACCGTGTGAACCAAGTTCTAGAGCTTGGAAATGCTTTCTGATACTTTTTAATTTACTAGGATAGAGACAAACTGTCTGTGTCCTGTCAAGATCCTCCTTCAGATACTACTTACTTTCAGAAGAACCTGAAGACAATGGTGAGCATAAAAGACTGGGGTGTGAGTGATCAGACAAGTTCTTTCAGAGAGAGAGAGCTACTTTCCCACTTCTGCTACAATTTTGAAGGGAGAATGAGGATGAATTCAAAATCCTTGTAGAAACCATTTCTCTTAACTATTAAGCCAGTCTTTGCTCCATGATTGCAAAGCATGCCCTTGCAAACTGACGGACCCATTTCTGTGACACCTGCAGTAATTGTGACGTGAAAGAAAAAAGGGACTGAGGCAAAAATGAGGAAACCATTACTGTCTGTGCAATAGTCTCCTTGGTACGAGATTTCTAAGTCAATTTATATCTCAGTGCAAGGATATGGCTGAGGGAAGATAAGCTGTGCCTGAGGGAATGACTACAATATGGGAGTGGAATTGATTTGTCGTATGACAACAAAATTTCCTGATGAAAACCTCCATAGATTATATAGTAACATAGAAACCCTTTTTTAATCCCCTTAGAAAAATAATTTTACTTTTATTGTTGTCCCTTAGAAGGTGCCATGTGGCCTATCTGTGATTTATTTCTTTTGAGGTGAAAAGATAATATTACAAAAACATATTTGTAGCAGTCTTATCTGAAATTATGGGACAAACCATAATATCCTTTGGTGAAGGAAAAGGCTTGGACACAGATTTTTAAAGATCAGAAGTGCCCTGGAATTAATGTAGTATTCAGTATAACTGTGAAGTTAATGTATATAGTTACAGAACTAATGGAAAATGATCAGTGACTGTTCCTGTCATAAATGTGACGATTTTTTAATGTCATCCAGCTAGATTATGTAATCAATCCTTGGATAAACAGCTTTGGTGTTTCTCACAGTTAAAGTCTTCAATAGTTTTTCCAAATTGATGTCATTTAATTTAAAACTTTTTAAACCGATTACTGCTAATCTGGAAGCAGTGATCAAGCCATTGTCAACTAAGAAATTAAATGTCCTTTTTTATTAATTGGTAGGCAATTTTTTTCAGATTGATTTTTGTTGTTGCTGTTGTTGTTGGGGTTTTTTGATCTGTATATTAAAAACAGAATATAGTAATTTGGGAAACATGTAATGTGTAATTATATAAATATTATTATTTAAGATTGTATTAAAGAAAAGACACCGGTATAAAACCAGGACATTCTGTTTCATAAAATGGTCTTTTATTAACTCAGGGATACTATCTGTGAATGTGTTATACAAAAATTTCAAGATGTAGGCGCAAAATTACTTCTAATTAAAAGAAAATACTACTGTAGGCTAGCAGAGAAATGGTCACACCTCGCCTTTGAACAGGAAAGAGCAGTAGGTTAGAGTAAGGTTGTGGAAAATTCCAACCCCTCTCAATGGAACAAAGTTAGTGTTATTCCTGCCAAACCCTTAGGTTATATAACACTAATAGGAAAATAATTAATAATTATTATTTCTTTTAGTAACACTGGCTGTAACATACATGATGTATAGGATTTGACATTAGAATCAATGTTCTTTTTAAGTGGTTTATATATGGAATAAATCATTGAACAGCGAAAGCAACTGTATTGAAATCTGCACCCTTCAAAATGGCATTTCTTGACCAGTATTTAAAAAAAATAACCCCATGCAAACTAAAAAGACCAATTTTTTGCACCTGATTTTACAAGACCTCATAATTACTGAAGAAAAGAAACAAAAACACATTGGCGAGCTATTTTTGGCAACAAAATCCTCAGACAAATCCAAGTTGAATTCAGATGCTTTGTCAGTCCTTTTTTTTTCTCCTTTTGTTAAAGCCTTTCTACCTGTATGAGGACCTGCTGCTCAGAACCATCCATTCACAAATGCCTGAAATCTGCCTAGCCTGGCCTATAACGTGGTCTGTAATAAGCTACATAGTAAAAGCTGATGCTCTTTGTATAAAAAAATTGCCATTTGAGATGACCATGACCTCTGCTTTAGATTCAGGTGCAGTTGTGACTGTCTGAGCTGTTGGATCACACTTCGGTGCATATATCTATATATATCTATCCATCTATCGATATCGATATCTATATCTATATCTATATCTATATCTATATCTATATCTATATCTATATCTATATCTATATCTATATCTATATCTATATATCTAATCTAGATCTATATCTAATCTATATCTATATCTATATCTATATCTATGTCTATATCTATATCTATATCTATATCTATATCTAATCTATATCTATCTATAGCTATCTTTATCTATCTGTATCTACCCATATCTATCTATGTATCTATCTATATCATCTATATCTATATCTATATCTATCTATCTATATATCTATATCTATATTTATCTATATATCTATATATAGATATCTGAAGGGTAGATATGTAGTTAAATGTATTTTTGTTTATTTTGTTTTAAATTTTTAGTTCTTTCTTATATTTATTTCATTACAACTCTTACTGCCACTTATTCCCTTTTGCTAGTACTTCTTTACTAGTGTTTATTTTTCACTCATCCTGTTACCCTGTTAGTAGGAAATATTCTTTGTATTTTGTTTCTTGCTGCTCTTCCATTTTCTTATTCTTTCTTAAAACAATGGTATTTTACTTAAAACTGTGATTCACAGACCTGAAAGTATCTCAGTCAAGAAATAAAATCCATTAGTGTTCAGATTAACTTGGAGACTTTGGTGTAAAAATATAGTTTTATAGAAAGTATTTTAATTGAGATTCATCACACCAAGGATATGATGGAAAATATTCCTAGGCAGGATCATTATTAGCTTTTGTTTTTGTTTAGTAGTTGTTATAGTTATGCTTCTAAATTAAGGAGCAAGATCCACTTTGTGGAGCCCTACAAGAACTGAAAGTTTGATGTTACAACCTTGTGAATACTGTGGCTTTAATAACTCTACTTGTAGCCTTGAAAGACTCTAGATATATTTCATTCAGCATGCAGTTTATTGTTTTTCCCAATATAATCTGTATAAAGCATGACTGCTAAAAATTTTATATGGGCCTCCAAAAATTTCCTCATTAGTTATTTCTGCACAAGGAATTTAACGACACCTGGAGGAAAACATCTTCAAAATAAAGAGTGCCTTAATTTTTTTAAGTTGCTTTCCTGAGAAATTTGCATTAGAGTATCTGCAGTGACCCCAAAAACAAGGAGCTTCTGTGCTCAAAGTGGGTAGTTGAATCCTGAACTGGAGATTTTTTGAGGAAGCTTCTTCAATTAATTCATTTTTTGAGTATTTTTGAAGGCCTGAAACAATAGGAAATGTACTTCCTTATCAGTCACTGAAACCTACCTGGCTTCCAGTTATCTATGATATTTTTTCTTTTTTCTTTTTTTTTTTCTTTTTTAAGTGTAGACTCAAAGCCTATTCCTAATCTATTTTTATTACACAAAATTTTAGCTTGTGAAAAAGCAACAGCTCATGAATCTGAAAAAATTTGACTTACAACATGAAACAAGTGTTAAGTACAGAGAAACCATTAATTTTTAAATCATTACATTAGTAAATAACTACTAACTGTGTCATCTGCAATACAACAATTGGCAGCTTATTTTCTGTTACCAGTTATTTAGGCGAATAGAGGTCTAGAAAAGATCATTTTAATAGATGTGAAGCACAAGGATAGTTAGTAACCTTGGCATTTAAATAACAAGAGAGCAAGCTTGCAGCTTTTTGAGAAATTAGAGCATTGAAGTACAGCTTATATCGGTAGAAGAGAGACACAAATATTGTTATGTCATACATAAACTTTGCGTATAAATGGTACTGCTAGTTTGAAGATCTGTGTTAACAAGTTTATTACTTTTGGTCCTGTATATTAGACACTCTACTGTGTAACTGACTAATCTTTCTCCTGTCATCCCAGTTCCTCCTTCTTCATTTTTGAATTTGTTGTCACTTCTCCTTGTGGTAAATACTGTGTTTTCTCATGTGTGCTGCGTGCCTGCAAGCACTGTTTGTCTCCTTGTTCTTTCATTCTTTTGGCTTGGAAAACAGAAAAATCTGACAAGGAGTCCCAGGGCTTTTTTGGAGTGTGTTAAGGTGTCTGCTTTTTTGCAACGAGGAGCCCCTTTGAAGGTCTTTATGTAAAGCTGAAGGGAGGATGCTGCCAACATCTTTGCAATTTTAAAAGCTAATGAGCAAGAAGTTATGTCCTTCTAATCTACCAGAGAGACTGGGAAGGGGTAGCTGCCCATCAGAAATGCAGGACCTAGGCATCACCTTTATTTTTTGAGCTGACTTTCACAGACTGTGACTATGAACATAGGTTTGCTATGATGCAGAATAAGCAGACTTCTTTTCAACTGAGATTATTCCAGCATAAAGACAATATTACAAAACCAAAATTTAAAAAAATCAGGATAAGCAGACATTACAATAAATAATACTTTTTTTTCTGTCCTTGAAAATTGAAAGGAAGCTAGTAAGATAAATATGGTTGTGTGTTAAAATTCACAATCCCAAAAAGAAATAGGGCCACAGGAGTATGTGCATGCATATTAAAAGAAAATATGACTTTATTGTGCTTGATAAGTCTGAGTACTCAACTCTTTCTAATCCATCTACCATGGGCTGTAAAATAAAATTGACCTTTAGTCTCGTTGTAATTAGGATAGCACCCACATTTAAGAATATAATCATGTATAAAAAATAGTTAATTTTATTTCATCTCACTGTGATAGGTATTATCTGTCAGAATCCCTGACACTTTACCTAGCAGTTAATTTAGAAGGAATGCCTCTTCTCAAACACACAGGATACATGACCAGACTACTCTTTCAGAGGCAGCAGTCTGTGATCCCACTGAACAGGTACAAGCGTGGCTTTCTCTCCAGCTGCTCGCAGGCTCAGTCACTTGTCTCTTTTCTTGCAGAACGATTCCTGGGGAAAGCAGTACTCCTATGCACTCTTCAAAGCCATGAGCCACATGCTCTGCATCGGGTACGGAGCCCGCGCCCCCGTCAGCATGTCCGACCTCTGGATCACCATGCTGAGCATGATCGTGGGGGCCACTTGCTATGCCATGTTTGTTGGCCACGCCACTGCCCTCATTCAGTCCCTGGATTCGTCACGACGACAGTACCAGGAGAAGGTAACTCGTTGTCTCATAACTCCCTAAGTTCTGAAATGGATTATTGGGATGTTTTGACTCTGGAAAGGTGGTATGACTTTGTGTGAAATAATCTAGTAGTGTGTGAATCCTGTGGTAGATGTCATTGAACACAAAGAGTTCAGAACACTCCATGAGTTCAGTATATTTTTGTAGGAACCTACTTTGCTTAGAGAGCCACCAGTTCTTGATGTTCAACTTCCTTTAAACTCTTCTGTGAAAACTGTCCCTTGCTTCAGACTTGTTTTGTATCCCTTTGCTATGTTCTGTAGGTATTTGATCTAGGTAGCTTGAACAAGGGCCTTGACCTTGGTGGCTTGGTCATGTCTTTACAATTTCCTGTCCTTCCTTTGGAGTGCAGTTCAGGGATCACCCTTGAACATGTCAAAAGAATGGCTTTTAGATGAGGACCAGACCAAACCAATTAGTTTTGTTTGTAAGTTCCTCAGAGAAATGCTCAGAAGAGGTCTTTGTTTGCTTAGTAACAGTGACCTCTCCAAGGTCAAAAAGGTTGTGGCCAAAGGTAGAAAAGTAGAGAAAGGTTAGTGGAAGAGAGTTCTTTATGAAGCAGGAAGTTGAAGATTGTTTTACTCCATGAAAGATTGGAATTAAAAAGACATGAATGTACAGGGTACAAGGTTGGATCTTTCTGAAGTAAGTCCTAGTTAAAACTGTCAGTTGTGTAATAAAAATCAGAGACAGGTGTGGATGAAGGTACGAAACTGGAAAATACAGCTAGAAATGATGGCATAAGGAAGAAAGAATCAGAATGAACTTCAAGAAGGGACAAAAAGAATGTCCAGAATTACTGAGGTGCTTAAAAGATGACAAAATTCGTTATTATAGTGAATGGGGGAACTGGAGGAGCCATGCCAGGGGAGACGTCAGCTGAGCAAAGCAGTGAAATCAAAGTTCATATCAGCAGATAAGAAACACAGCCTGAGCTATAGTATTTGGCATGTGTCCATAACAAGGTCCAGAAAGGCAAACTGGGCAGAAATCACAGTATGATGTAACCCAGACCTGAGGGAGAAACCTGGCAGAGACTAAAGCCAAGAGGGTGACCCTGGCATCTGCTGAGGGTGAAGGGGAGTGACCTGACTTTGCTGGGCAAGAAAGAGGGGGGAAAAATAGGATGGATTGGGGGATTTTCTTCGCAAGGAAGCAAAGAGGGAGGAAATGAGAATGTGTGGGTGAAGAAGGGTTTATATGCAGTTTTGTTAAGCTCAAATTGCAACAAGATCATGGGTTCGATATATGAGAGACAGGAAGAGGTACAGGCTGAGCTGTAAGTTCAGTGACAGAAAAATTAGCTTGTGGCTAAGAAAACAGCTATTCAAAATAAGTTTGCAAGCAAGAAATTTCACATACTGTAGTGTCATAAAGTAAAAGTGATAATAAGAGGTTTAGAAAGAGAGTAGAGGTGATCATTAAAACAGAATGTGTTCTGTCAGTGACCATGTGAAACCCCCTTATTCATCTCAGTATAATGTCAAAGGGCTAATCTTGGTAGGCTACCTAACTCAACTGGCTCATTGGGCCTATTCTGTGAACAGAAAGGGAAGTAATTTTATCCAAATGGGACATTTCTAGGAAGCTGTGGGATTGAAATATCATAACCATGGACATGAAGTATGACTGCAGTTTCATTAGAAGTTAGGGTCAACATATATACACACACATATACACAGATTTAAGAAATCAGAAGAATTGTCACTATTTACCTGAAATCTCATCCTAATCATGATCCTCAGACCTTGCTGGCTCCTGCAGTATATCACAATATTTTGAGCATCAGAAATATAGTACATGTGTAAAGATATCCATGTATTTTAAGCTGTGCTGAGTAAAGTCTCATGTGCACTTGTTTTGTATATTAAAAGCCAGCAGCACTCAAGCAGTATTGCATTTCTCATCTTTTTGCAAAACAGCAAACAAAACTTTTTGTTTATTCATTTGTTCTCTGATTTTATGCACATACAAACAAAACTTTTTGTTTATTTGTTTTTTTCTGTGATTTTATACACACGCTTTATTAAACATTAGCATAGAAATATCTGGCATTTTTCAGCTCCTGCAATTCTCAACACATTCATTTTTCCTTTTTTTTTTTTTTATTTCTTACTTGTTTCCTGACTTCAGAGATAAAGAAAAGCATGGCATTGACAAACAAGAAATTTAAGAAATGAGCCAGAAATTGCATATTTCTATGCTTTAGAAAAAAAATATTTCTTATTTTCTAGAAGCTATTCTTATGTTGGTTATTAAGAGTAGAGATAAAGGATGTCTTGAATAAAGCATTTTTTCTACTGATTTCTGAGACCCTGGACCCTGATATATATTATCAACTATAAAAACTATAAAAACGTTACAGACTTGTCTGTACATTCTAAACCATTTCTTTATCATAGTTTAATCATATTTTAAAATAAATCTTTGATTATAGCATAAGAATTGTAAGTCATTACTACAGATTCCTAAAGAGTGTTCTATGTTTTTCTTTACTCTGCAAACTAGATAAATGGGCATTTCAAAGACCATTTGATGGTACCCATTTTGTCATAATATTTTCTAAAATATTGCCAGATAAAAATTCTTTCTATTTCATGTAACTGACACTTGAGAAAAAGTACATTAAATTCTAGCTACAGATTTGAGAGTTTTAATATACTCTATTATACATTTTTGCATCAGGAGAGTGAGACTTTTTTTATTTTTTTGGACTTAAGGGCTAGGATCAATTTCTTGGTTTAGACATATGTATCTAGGGTTTTATGTTTATTAGCTCCATTCTTTTTCCTTGTAAGAATCATGTAAAATAATGAAATTAACATGAATTGCTAGGCAACATAGAATGATAGTGGAGGTAAGAAAAAGGTCGTTATTTGATTCTTCTCTGAATAATATAATAAATGTATTTGTGGAATGCAACCAATTAAAGGAAAGTTCTGGTCCTTCTCACACTGAAAGCAGCCAGAAATAAAATATTTGCTGAAATCTCCTTAATTCAGATCCTTCCAAAGCTCAAGGTTTGCAAAACTAGAACATACATAGTTCAAAATGGAAGAACTACACTCAGGAAGACAAAAGTGATATTCATTAAGCCAAATGTCAAACACCATCTAAGAATTTGACCTGTGCAAGCCTTGCAATCTGAGAGAAATCAAAACATGGTAAGGAAGCAAATATTGCTCCACAGGTTTACTCTTATGGGCCAAAACCAAATTGTATCAGAGAAAATTAAGAGTGATTATAAGCCATCAGATGTAGGAGATAGGCAGTAAACACACTGAGGAGTGGTACAAAAAAGAATGCTTTGATACATTCTGGTCACTCGGACGAAGTTCAGGCTTTTTTCTGATGAAGTAGTAGAAATGTTCTCACAAAAAAAATGCCTCTCAGATTTAATACATATATCAGATCCTGGTATCAATTAGTGAAAGGCTTATACCTGACAAAGGAGAGAGATGTCCAAGTCAGGCATACTCAATCCATAATCTCTTTACAGTAATAAGGTTTGACGGACCATTCTACCTTAGAAAAGGACTGAATAAATCAACAAATCAAGGTCATCTTAGCACTCTCCTTCCTGACTTTGGTGTAAGTCAAAGAGGAATCCAGTAATAACTAAAAGCAATATTCTAAGTGACAACACCTTTGACATTTTCTAATGTCTAGGAAGGCAGCACATCTCAAAGTTGTTTGCCTTTGCAAAGACAACGTTTACTGGAAAGAACCATAAATGCATATATTGAACTTATTAACAATCTAGTGTGAAACCAAGAAGGCAAAATGAACAGTCATTTGACAAGGAGGTGAAGATCATAAGTTAAATATTTCTTCCTTTAGATGTTGGCACTTGCTAGTCAGAAGATATTCGCTTAATGCTCTGAATGTCAAAGAATTTTCATGGTTGAAGATAGGTTAATATTTTCTGTTACAGTCTGTCATAGGCAAAAAATATCCAGGAACAACAGGCTACTAGAGGCGAGTTTTATAGTAGCATACAGATTGTCTCATAGCATAAAGATTGTTAATTTGGTTTGATAAAATACAAAGTATTAGCTGGGGAGGTTATTATTTAATTTTATTTTAGTGATCCATTTTCCTTATGCTATCATTTTGTATATTTTGTTTATTTTCTAATAGAACTCAAACCACACAATGTGTCGAAAAAAGAAAAAATAATAAGACTTGTTTTGCCAATTACAAGTAATATGAGAGACATAAAATACTCAATTCAATTATATTCATATAGGAAATGGAAAAAAATTACAGTTGTCTCCAATGTCCCAAAGGACATTTTCTAACCCCATATTTTGCTTTTATTTTATCTCTTAATTTATGACCTTTTAGCATGTCTTCAGTTAAATCAGTCTGTTCAAAAGAAGAAAAGAACTTAAATGTACTTCTTTACAGAGAAAAAGCAATAACTGTATATAAATTTAATTTCAAAGCAACTAGCAAGTTGTAAGTAGTAAGCAACTACTACACGATTATGTGATATTGTGCACTTTTATAAAGATAGCATTGGGATTTGAAGCTCAGATTGCCCAGCTTTCATTTCTTAGGCATCAGAAGAAACATTTAAAAAGGAGTAACAGAATTAGGGCAGCAGGGCAGCTTTAGATTTTGCAGCGTGAGGCTTTGCCCCAGCTTTTCAAGTGTGTCCCTCTCAGCTCCAGTTTGGATATCCAGCTTGCCCACGCAGTCTGTGGGGAAATAATTGATATGCATTGCAGGAGGCAGCAGTGCCTTGGGGTGCCTTGGGGAGCTGTGGGTGCAACGTGCTCCCCCTTTTCTGCCCCTCCAGGAGGCTGGGGTGTGTCCTCCACACACCTGGGGTCCTCCCTTCCAAATCTGGGAGCCACCTCCTCAAGCCTCCTTCTCTGAGCAGTTTTGGGGTGCAGTGGAGGGGCTGTGCCATAGAGCAACTCAAGGTGTGGCAGCCACTCATTCAGCCAGAGACACCTCTGCACTTT